CCTCTGCATCCAAAACAAGCGACGGTGGGAACATGTGGGCCGGCTCCGGTTGCAGCACCTTCAGCTCGCGCAGAGCGTCCGTTATAGCAGCCGGCGCGCGCAGCAGGAAGCCCGGCGTCATCTCTCGCAGCAGCTGGTACAATGTGCGCGCGCGGTGGAAGTCTCCCGCCACACGGCAGGCGCGGAAAAGATACGTGAGCGTGTCGTAGTCAATGCTGCTGCCGCTGTACAGCACGCACAGGTCCACGAGGTTGAAGACGCGGCAGTCACCACGCCGGCTCAGCACGTCCATTAGCGGGTGTATCACCTCCTTCGTGATGACCAGGCCGTGGTACTTGTGTGTGACGATGATGGTGTAGGCTTGATTCAGCCGCTCCTCCACGTGTGAGCGAGCAAACGCCGCAATAACAATACGGTGCGCCTCTTGGAAGTGCAGCCGCGACAGCTCCTCCACCGCGTCGGCCCACTGAAGTGGCGCAGCACTCGTGGTGGTGCCGCTGCTGCTCTCGTTGCAGCTGCTCTTGGAGGTCTCCACGTCGCTGTTGCGCGGGCGAAGCTCCACCAACGCGCGCAGCGACTGAAGAAGGTCGTCGTAAATGGCGCTGCAACTCTCCTCGTCAGCGAACAAATCCAGAAGCTCCACCTTCGCCACGAGCAGCTCGTACTCAATGGAAAGGTTCGCCGGGCACCGGTCAACAATATCAACGGCGTCGCGCAGAAAGCGGTCAGGCTGCTCCGCCTCCAGACGCATCACCCGCAGCAACGCGAGCGCCAGCAGCAGCCGCAGGCCCGCCTCCTCCGTCTCGCCCACAGCGAGCGGGTTGCCGCTGTTGGCGTTGCGCTGCAGCGTGACATCCACCGCCCCGTTCACCTGCTGCAGCTGCGGCAGGCACGAGACGCCCTCGAAGGCCTCGTAGTGCCGCCAAACGCCCCGCGCGGCGGTGCGAACGAGCGGCAGCGATATAAGTTCGTCCGGGCACGCCGCGTGGTACTGGGCGAGGAAATGCAGCACAAGCCGTGCGCCAAGTGCGTTCGCAGGCAGCACCCGCGTCAGCTCCTCCGCGAAGTCCTCAGCGAGAAGCGGTCGCTCCTCCTCTCCCTCTTCCTTCCGCTGAGGCTGCTGCGGCTGTGGGTGTTGCGCGGTGAGGAGCACGCGAAGGAACCGCATCAGCGCCTGCCCCAGTTGGCTCGACGGCAGCAGCGTGACCGTCGCGGCGATCGGCTGCAGCGCACGCACAACGGCTTCCGCCACTTCCTTCAACGACGCAACGGTGCTGTTGCCGCCACCACCACTCTGTGTCCTGTCCTGCTCGCAGACACCGCAAAAGGCCTCCAGGAGGTTTCCCAGTGCGCTGCCGTCGCTGCACGGCACCCGCGCACTCAGTGGCACAACGCCACCGGTCAGCAACAGTGTCTCACGTGTGGGTCGCAGGAGTGGAAGAACAGGAGTCGCAGCAGCAGAAGCAGCAGCAGAGGGCTCTTCCTCCTCCCCTGCAACCGCGCCAGAGAACTGCTGCTCCACCGCAGGCAGAACAGAGCCATTGCTGTGGTCGGCAGCCTCCGCCACGCCGGGGTACGCGAGAACGGCGTTCGCCTCAATATCGCTGTACGGCGCCAAGTCGCGGATAAGCGCCGGCCACGCCGACGCGTGGGGCGGGTGGTGCCCGCAGCGCAGCAGACGAAACACAACAGCCAAGGTCGTGTCCGTCTCCTTCAGCGTGTGGGCGCACTGCGCAGTGGCTAACACGTGCTCCCACAGGCCGGCAGCGCCACCCGCCGCACTACCGTCGCTTGCAGCAGCAGCAGCAGCAGCAGCAGCAGCTGGAGTGCGTTTCGCCGCGATGTACTCCTCCACGCGTTGCGCCAAATTCGTCAGTCGGCTAGTAAGCGTGGTGCCTGACGGGACACACCGCATCACTGCCGAGAGACGCATTGCCGCGCTGCGCTAATGTATATGGGGAAGGCGGCGAATAAACGGCAAACAAACAGTGGCCCAGCCACAGCGCAACGCTTCGTCCCGCCGCAGTCGACTTATTCTCGCACGGCGGCACACTGTGCGCAGCAGCCGTCAGAAACGAGGAGGCGAGAAACAGACACGAAACGAAAAAAAAAAAAAACACAGACANAAAAAAAAAAAAGATATCTTCATTCAGCTAAGATGATGCTCAGCCAATGCCGCACATGAGAACACATCCACCTGCAGGAAGAGAGGCCCAAACAGCACACGGCAAATAAAATTTGTTTCACAAACAACAACAAAAAATATTGTGAACCACGCCCACCGCGGCAACATCACTCTCTCCTAACACACTTTGGACAGAAGCACTCAAAGTGTCGCTGCTGGCAGAGGGCACGCCGGTCCTCGTACGACACACACGTTGTGAGGCTCGCGTTGTAGTTAATGAACAGCTGCTCACCCTCCCGCACATCACGCAGAGTCACCAGGTGACGATTCATCGCGCCGCTGCCGACAAGCGCGCAGTTGGGCTCGCAGCTGTGGTTGAGGAATGAGTACCCGTGGTAGAGCGCCATGCCGTTGGGCAACAGAAACTCGTTCGTCTGCACGAGCGCGAACAGCGAGAGCACCTCCTCCATGTAGAGGTGCCGCTGCCGCAGTGCCGACGCCAGCGTGACGGCCAGCGTACCCACCTCACTGAGCGCCGTTGCGGCGTCGTAGTCGGCGCGGCCCCGCAGCGAGCGCAGCCGCGGTAGTGCG